CATTCTTAAATGGCAAACTTGAAGAGACAGTCTACGTGGAGCAACCTCCTGGGTTTGTGAACAAAAAATATCCCAATCATTGCTATATTCTAGACAAAGCAATTTATGGTCTAAAGCAAGCTCCTAGGGCCTGGTACGAAACTCTAACTTGTTTTCTTAAAATTTCTAAATTTAAACAAGGTTCGGTTGACCCAACCTTCTTTCGCAAGAAAGAGGGTGACCATTTAATGATCGTTCAAATTTATGTTGATGACATCATCTTCGGTTCTACAAATCCTAGCTTAACGGGCTGAATTCCGAAAGTTGATGGAAACTAAATTTGAGATGAGTTCCATGTGTCCAATTTACTTTTTCCTTGGATTGAATATAAGACAGGGACCAGAAGGCATTTTCATTAATCATGAAGCATACACGAAGACCTTACTGGCTAAGTTTGGAATGGTGGGAGACTCAAAAGCGAAGGTTCCAATGGCATTCGGAACGAAACTGACACCATCTCTGAAAAACCTGCTACTGATATGACCCTTTATCGCCAAATGATAGGATCATTAATGTATCTAACATCTAGTAGACAAGATATTATGTTTTCCGTTTGTTATTGTGCTAGGTTCCAAGCATATCCATGTGAACCTCATATGGTGGCTGTCAAGAATATCTTCAGATACTTGAAACGAACTTCATCTCTTGGCATATGGTACCCTACGAAATCAGGCTTCTTCGTTCAAGCGTTTTCGGATGCTGATCTTGGAGGATGTGGATTAGATAGAAAAAGCACAACTAAAGGATGTTAATTTATCGATGACCAAACTTGTCAGTGGGTAGTCCAAGAAACAAACGTGTGTCTCCTTATCAACAGATGAAGCTGAATATATAGCTGCTGCTTCATGTACATATCAAGTCATCTGGATTCAAAGTCAGCTTCGTGACTATGGCTTAAGCATGAAACGAATCCCACTTTATTGTGACTCTGAAAGTGCTATTCGCATTTGTCACAACCCAGTGCAACACTCAAAGATGAAATACATAGCACTGAGGTATCATTTTATCAAGGTTCATGTAGAAGACTGAAACGTTGAAATTCACTTCGTGACATCCGCTGATCAGTTGGCCGACATATTCACAAAGGATTTTCCTGAAACAACATTCAACAGAATTCTTCAAGGCCTTGGAATGATGGAAGCTGAATCTGTACCGAAACCACCTTCGCTTTAATAAAGTTGTTGAAGCGAATCGATACGAATGCTCGTAGAGGATCGTTATCCACTATTCATTTGTGGTTGGGTTTAACCAATATCATTTTTGTACTTTATGTATAATATGTCAAAGCTTCTAAAATCTTTTGTTTGAAAAATCCAAAAATATTTGTTATCCTTTCGTTTTTATTCCTATGACGCGAATTGGCACGAGCGCTCGCTTCAATTCGTTTCCGATTTTTCCGGGAACCGAATTGGCACGAACGTTCGCCTTAATTCGTCTCAAATAATTTTTGCTCGCTTTCAATTTTATTTTTGTCAAGCGAATTGGCTCGAACGCTCGCCCTAATTCGTTTCCGATTTTTTCGGGACACGAATTGGCATGGACGTCCGCCCTAATTCGCCTCATCAAAAATTTATTTATTTATTTTTTGTTTGATATTTATTTATTTTCCTTTGTACAATATTCTATTTTATTCAAAATTCAAAAACATTTTGTTCTGTTTTTATTTCTTTTTCAGAAACTCTCAAAATACAAAAATATTTTATTTGTGTTTATTTTTTACTTCTTTTATTTTCACAAATTTCAAAAACACCAAAAATATCTTAAGAAGATCATGGAGGCACCGACTCGTGTGAATGGGCAGGTATAACATTCTTTATCTATGTATTAGCTAAGTGTCCCTAGAAGCATGCTGTTGTATGTTGTCCAAAGCCTCGATTGACTCGATGTAAAGCCATAATGAATTGAATCTACCATTCGTTTCTTCCCAACTAGGCTGTTAAATTTACATTAGTCATGACTACCTTACTCTTCCCGCTTTGAGTTAAGAGTTATCTGCTTAGTCAATTTATTTTAGCAGAGGTACATTCACTTCTCTGGAACCCTCTTCATATTTCTCCATAGCCTTCATACTCATCAATGCAACCCTTGAGACTCTCAGCTATACCACTGAGGTTTATGGTTGCATAATATATGCGTTAATGATCTTAGTTTCGTTCACCATGAACTAAGTGAAACCCCAAATCCAACACACTTACATGAATTAACGGTGAACAATTAAACGTTCTAGATTTTCACCATGGAATTAACGAAAGCCACTTTCATGGTATGTATCAAGAAATCTGTTTTTCTTTTGCGAGATCTTCATGAAGTGTTCTGATTCCAAGATACTTCTTCCCATAAGATCCAGTTTTATTTTTTTTTGAGATTTCAAAAGCTTAATCTTGTCACTAAAATAATTTCACACCTACTCGTTCAACTTACTACACTGGTCACACGAGTACTTCATCCAACATTCGTTCTTATGTTAAGTTCGTTGTTTGGTCTGAGATTTAGCCACCCATTAAGCCTATTTAAAAGATGCCTTTCAATGTTTCTTGTCAAGCATTTGATCGTATTTTAACGGGAAACCACACAGACATTTCTTAGTCTCTCTTGATTTTGAAGGAAGAGATCATTGCCCGAGATCTATAGTTTCGTGTCTTTTAAGACATCACTAAAATCCCACAGATAAATCTTGCTTTATTTCTTTTTCTTTGGCACACTTTCGCACGAAGATCTCTTTGATTTTCCTAAAGTCTTGCTTGTGGTACTTATCGCATTTTCAGTTTCGCAGATTCAATGATACTCAATGCAAACGGGTGTATGGTTATGTATTGCAACAAATGCAATTTGAAAGGTTGAGAACAAGATAATGATGACGCGACTGTTGGTGGATAAAAGTTCGAAATTTAGGCGCATGGAATTTGAAACGTTTCCACTCATCACGCCGAATGACACCTTTTTAGGGGCTACAGTTGTCAAATCCCGCTTTTCCAAGCGTCGTTTCATAGGAAATCACTCAATCGACGGTTAAAATTCTCTCTCCTGCGTAATCATATAAAAGGGTTTTAAATTCACAAGAATTCCCTTTACCACTCTCAAATTCTATCAAGAACCCTAAACGACGATTTCTCTCTACTGCTCTTTCCTTTACCACTCAACCTGCAACAATGGCCATTTCTTCATATGTTCAAGATCAGACCGCTCACTCATCACTACTTTCCATCAAACAATATCAAACCTGATTCTTGACTTGACGCCATTCAAGTATGATTCTTACATGCTACCCATCATTGAGTGCTTGAAGTATTCCCCTCTGGTCATCGCCTTAACTAAGGTCGAGTGCGTCCCAATGTCTCTACTCTCGAAGGCTTATTTTTAAGCATCGTACATCAAGGAAGAAGAACGCATCACCTTCGAGATCTCTGACAAGAAAACCTCTATCACCAAGTCCAGGTTTTGTTCTCTGCTAGGGCTTGCATATGATGACTCCATGGTGAATCCAGACTCGATCTCCACTGCAGCTATTTTCGAGATGTTTTATGAGATGGGGTATAAAGATGTCATTCCTTCAATCTCCAAGTTCATAAAACGCAACCTACCTCCTCGGTGGAATGGTTTGTTCACTCTTCTCTTCAAAGCCTTTTCTGAAAGAGTCACTGGTTCAGACTTTGCAAGTAAGCAGTTCATAACTATGATGTATGGCCTTTATCACGGAATCAACCTTGATTATGGCATAGTTCTATGGTCTCAACTGGTGCAAAGTACTCACTACACAACACGACACGGTGAGATTTCCTATACTTGTTTTTGGACCATTGTCGTTCAAAGAGCTATCGAGGAACACCAAGTACCCATCATGAAAGATTCCATGAGGTCCTCGATCGCTACTTTTCACACCACCAAGATCATTATCATTGACATCTCGAATTTTCCCTTTGTTGGTTCCATTTTGGAGACCATGTATCGATGTGTTCCAGCTGCTAGCAAAATTTTGGAGGAATACAAAAAGCTTCCATCTTCAGAAGCTCGCACCATTACTCCTGCGATGCGCCTGTCAATTAATGAAGCTGACAAAGTGAAAAAGGGGGGTAAGCAAAAGCCAGCGAAAGAAGGTCCATTTGAGCCGGCTGTTACTCAAAAGAAGCGAAAGGCGAAAGCTGCTCCTTCTGGAGCCAATCCCAAGAAGCGAAAGCAGCCTGCTCGAAAGCGAAAGACCCCAACACCAAGTGCAAGCGAAGGTCCAGGGTCTGATACACAATCTGATACTCGCAACAAGGAGGAGAATCAAGTTCGCAACGAGAAGGATGACACAGCTCACAACGAAGATGAACTCGTTCAGAACACAGAAGACACATCCAATCCTGAGGTAACTCAAACTTTTAATGATTTTGTTCCTTCTCCTCCTCCTTCACCTAAAACCACCTCTATACCTATTACCTTTGTCCCATGCCCTCCACCAGTTCTTCACAACAACAAACCAGCATTCCTCTCTCCATCCCACTGTTCACTAATTCAACTGTACCTCCTACCTCCTACCACCTCAACCTCACCTTTCGTTTCAGTCAATGTATCTGATATGGGGGCTCAAACTTCAGGTTTATCCACTCATATTTCACCTCCTATTTCCCCTATTAACCATGATGACCCAGACATGGTCTTTGGTGATGATGAAGACGTAGATCTTGGGGGGTTTTACTTATAGTCCCTTCCAAATCCGGACTGAGATTGAAGATGAGGTACAGGTTACGAAAGGGAAACTACAGTCCTACATTAAAAGATTGACTAACTGATTCTCTCTACCAAAGCTTCCTCTACTGATGCATATGCTAAAGCAGCAGTTGAGTCTCTCTTTGAGCAAATCATGAAGCAACATTCAACTACAGTTGAAACGTCGAATAAAGTTGTCGCTGATTCTTTTGAGGTTTGCAAGTCCACGACCCAAAAAAGTCGATAAACTAATTGAAGAAACTACTGCTTTCATGGAGAACTTTCAAACCACCTTCAACACCAACACCACATCAACAAATGAAGCCTTGAAGAGTTTGGGTTCTCTCTTCAAAACTGAGAAGACGAAGCTGCAAGAGATTCGCACTGGTCTGCAAACTGACCATGAATCATTTCAAGCCACTATCTCATCTCAGATTACTCAGCTTAAAGACGAACTGGTTAAGGAGAGTAACCTCAAGGACTCTCTCGCACTCAAGTCAGAAGAAGCAAAGGTGTTAAGTACCAAACTGGAAGCTTCGGAGAAGCAGGTCAATGATCTGTTATCTGAGAGGGCAGTCATGCGAAGTTGTATAACTGATGTTACTGGCATGCTCTCGGATATCATTGAGACCAGGGACTCCATGATCACCATCACAATGCGTAAGCATCTGGCAGAATAGTTAAGGCCAGTCTTCGCAATGCTTCACCACCTTGAAGGTGTTTATGATCAATCCTTTCATCCGAAACAATGGGGAGAAGGTGTGGCTGGTGGATCACGAAAAGAAGAACCCAAAGCTTTTGTCAAGCCCATTGCCAAGAAAGAACCCAAGGGAAAGGAAAAATTGTTCCGTGACGACCCAATTCTTGATAATGAAGAAGAAGAAGAGCCTGATGAAGAAGAACTTAAAAGGTGAAAAGTTTATGAAGCTGAACTGCATGAGCACCGGCGAATCATCCGTGAAGCTGAAGAAAAGGAAAGGGTTGAGAAAGAAACACATGTTACTCTTCATAGCAAAAAGCTCTTGTTTCCCAAATGGACCTTGAAGCGAATCCAACGTGATGTTGTTGATCTTCCAAGCCAATATTGGTTAGAACTAGTAGTTTCGTTTGATATTCAGAACACACGAGACTCGCAACTGGATCTGCCAATTACTCCAAAAGCCTTCAGGTTCCGTTCTTTTGGTAAAGTGGCGAACGCTCCATTCACAGACAGCGGGGCTGATCATATGATATTCTCATTTTATCTGAAGCATATGAAGCCACAATACGAAACCTGGTCGTTGAGCAAAATTCCGCTGTGAAAGTTACAGGGCCGATCGAGACTGATAGCTTTCCGAACGCAAAATTTAAAGTGACAAGAGGTTCAGTCAGACAATGCTATGAGTTTACTCTTGCAGATTTTCCATGCCTTAACCCCTATGACTGGTTCGTTCTTTACAACATTTTGCTGAAGGACAAAGAAAAATACGAACCTGTCATGTCTCATCTCAAGCAAATGATAAATTCCTATGTTCAGGAGATTGGGGAGATGGATGTTGAGGTTGCTGCTATCCTACGAAAGAAGCCTTCTACTGTTCGTAAGGAAACTCCCAAGGATTTTGAAAAGTTGAAGCCAGGGAAGCTTTACAGTGGAGATTGGTTCGTGGTTTATTCTGCTAGGGAACGAACTGGAGCAGACTTTCGCAAAGGATGCTTTTATCTTTCTGATAAGCATCTTTATACCACATCCTTCCTTTAGTACATTTTGGACCATGTGGGTAAGTTCAAAGGCAACAGCAAAGATGACATCAAGTGCTTCTCAGATATGGTTCTATGGTACATTGAGATTTGCCAAGCAATTTTTCCTATCATTCCGAAGGTGTATGAAGTGCAGAATCGAATCCAAGGCTGATGGGTTCGTGCCTCAATTGACACAAAGGGGGAGATTGTTGAGTATTTGATGTTGCGTCATTGGGCCTATTAGTTAGTCTTTTGTATTATCGAGTTTGGCATGTCCACTCGTTATTAATTCTAGGGTTAGAGTATTTAAGGTGCATGCATGCATCGTTTTTTATTTAACTATGATCTTTTACTTTGTAACCCTAATCACACCTCTACAGTAGGAATTCCTCATAGAGTTCTTCTGAGGCGTGACGTTTAATCATTCGACATTCTTGAATCTTTATTGTGTTGTTCTTTTACCTGTTCTTGAATCTAATCGATCATCAAGGATATTAATCCTAACACAAACACACACACACACGATCCCCACCCTTATTCTTCCCCACCGAACCATTCACCTTCATCGCTCCTTGTTTCATCCCACACCTTCGTCTTCTTTTTCGCACATTTGTTTGAGTTCACCCCCAATCTTCACTTCTCATCTCATCCACCCCTCTCTGCCCCTCTTTCATCTCTTTCTCCCTCTCAAAACAACACTATGCATATTTGGAAGAATTCTTAGCTCATCATCTCTTTAGGAAGGATTCACACACACACACAGACACTTTTTGAAATCGATTGAGAAGTTGAAGACATATCAGGAGACGAAATCGATTTCAAATATGTCAAGATTCAACCACTTTAAACCCAGTAAACCCTAATGACTCGATTAATAGGTGTGTGTATGTGTGTGTATGTATTTTCAGTCACAGCTCTCAAGGATCCTATTTAAGGGTGGTGTTTGGTGGTTCAGGAAAGGGGTGAATGAAGGTGTTAGATTGTGGGTGATTACTGTGACTTGGGAGATGGTTTATCAAGATTAATAAGGGTAGTGTTAAGTTGTCGGGTTGATAATCGATGATGATTCCTAAAATTGATTGAGATGGTAGGGGTGTTGGTATGCTGAACCCGATTCTGAAAACGGTTGAATGGGTATCACGTTATTTGTTTTATCATTCACAATTTTCTTTACAATTTGTTAATCGATTCTACCATATCTGATGTCGATTCATTCTTGTTTCTGTTAGACTAATCTCGACGATGACTCTTGAATGATTGAGATTTGTGAAATTTTCTTCTGATATGGATGGAGGTGATGATGGTGAGACTGAATTTGTATGGTTGTGGCGGGGGGTATCTATTATTATTTTGTCATTTGTAGTCCCTGGGGTTAGAAGAGTCGACCCATGAGAAGCCTAAGGGCTAAAGTTGCAACTTTGAGAACAATACTAGTATGCTAAGCATATATAAGGTACGCTAAGCGTACTAGGTGCACCTTAGTACGCTGGGCGTACACTTGTGTACGCTAAGCGTACTCGCGTCAGATGCAAACCCTAATATTTAGGGTTTGAGTGCTATATAAACATCCTTTTGAGCTCATAACCCTCCCTTACCTCAGCGTCCACAGTTTTGAGCCGTTTTCCCCAAAACCCTAATCCTTTCCTTGAGTGTGTGAGTTAAAAGAGTGTGTTTTCAGTAGTTGGAGAAGAAGGTGTTGCATCAAGAAGTTGGAGAAGGAGGACAAGCTTGTAGAGCTGAAATTCCTTTTTGCTCTAGAAGCTCCAGAAGGTAAAAAGATCCAACTTTATGCTTGTATGATGTAGATCTTGCCATGCTAGCTTTATGGAACCATTTCTTGTCCCAAAAGTCCCAAGTTGGTGCATGATATGAGTTGGACGAGATAAGCTGTCCTTTCAGACCCTTGAAGAGGTCCTAAGTGATAAAAATGATGTCCCAATAGCTAAATGTGTCTCATGCATGGAGTAGGAAGGTCTTAATGGATTAAGACCATGTGTTAAGAAATTTATGGATGTACAAAGTGTTAAAGTTCGAGACTTTGTGATTCTTAGGCATATTTGGTCAATGGATTTGAAGTTTGGGCTTAAGTACTTAAGCCATTAAGCACTTATTAGGGTTTTGGCAAAACCTTGCGGACGCCCCGCGTAGTTTCTGTACGCCCAGCGTACCGAGTCAACCACCCTGATGGTGGTCAACGCAAAATGGAAGTACGCCCAATGTACCAGAGGAGTACTCCCCGCGTACGCTCTCTGTTGGACTTTTGACAAATTAGGCTTCGGGGTTGGGCCGCTTTTGGACTAATTGGACTTAGGCCTTGCTGGGCTCTCTGAATAATTGAGGATTGGGCCAGTTTTGATAAGGTATCCTATGATAAGGCCCAATTAGGATGGGCTTTGGATATATGGACTTTTAAGAGCATGGATTGGGCATTGGGCCTTGGCCCAATAGAGAGAAAAGACAAAATGGATTATGTGGACCCTTAGTCAAGATTGATATCCCATGTATTGACTCAGTATTTATTATTTTGGATAGTTCAGGATTTTCGGTGAAACGGTGATCGGAGACTTCCAGTTCATTTCAGCACTACTTGCGAGGTGAGCTCTCCTCACTATATCAATAGGGTCTACGACACCAAGGCTAGCCCTTTATGGTTTTTATCCTGGTTTTAGGATGGTTGCTATGCTAGTAATCTGTTAGATTGATATCCTGGTTATAGGATGGTTTCTATGTTAGAGATCGGTTAAATCGGTATCCTGGTTATAGGATGTTTGCTATGTTATTGATCGGTTAGATTGGTATCCTGGTTATAGGATGGTTGCCATGTTAGTGATCTGTTAGATCTGTATGACTATCTGTTATGGATATGGGTTAGATATGGTTCACTAAGAGATAAATCAAAATTATTTTCAGAGATCATAGATCTTACCTGTTGAACAATGCTCCTGCCTGGTAGATCATTGGTTTCCATGTAGCAAAAATTCAGCTCAGCATCTTCATCGTCTTCTTGTGAACCTGATGACTAGTAGCCCTCATTGCATTCGATCGATTATCTTGCCATAAGACACATATTCCTTCCAGTTCTCACTTCATCCTCATCTCCAGAAGGCCAGTGCCCTTCAACATCTCTTTACACAGTAGTAAGAAACGCTTTCTCACTTGCTTCCAGTTCTTGAGCTCTGCGAGCATAGTATGCATAATCTTTAACCTTCGGTTTCTGAGAGGTTTCATCCAAACAATCTTTGGCAAAGTGGTTACCAAGTCCAAACTTATGACAAACTATCTTGGGTTTCTCTGACTTCAGAATTTCATGGGATTCTGAGGAGTGATTTGACGAGGAGATGTTGGGCCTGTAAGATGGTGGGTTCTCTGAAGGTTTAGGAAATGGTTGAGGATTATTTTGATGAGGGTATTGGAATAGGTTTTGATACAGTTTGTGACTGGGATTCCATGGACACTTGTATTTCATGGACAATAGTGCAAACTCCTATTGGAAGCGAAGTTCGGACTCAGCTCGATCAAGATCAAGATTCTCTGGATGGTTCGGAACAGGTGGAGTAAGTGGAGTTGGGAAGGTATGTTGAACGGGCGAAACAGGTGGGATAGTTCCGAAGGGAACTAGCACGGATGGGGTCGGAATAAGTGGGTTAACATGACTAACTAAGGCAAGAGGACCTCCTGAAAGTTCTCTTAACGTTTGTGCAATGTTAAATTCGTGGCCTTCAAGTTCGTCAAATAGTTGATAAAGCTTCAGCTTCTTCAGAGATCCATTACTATGAAGACATGACTTGACGTTTCCGCAGCCTTTTCCCAGGCTATTGATAAACTTCATATTGTAATCAAGAAGAGTTTTGATTATGCCGTGTGCAGTCATTTTATCCACAACAATTCAATACCTATTTGAAGTCAAGTCTACGGATTCACCTGGAGTAGTGGTGAAGGTTTAAAAATCGTTGACAACCGA